GGAGAGGGAGGCCAAGAGATCAAATGTTAGTTGAATTTGATCGAGATGCTTTTCATAGAAGCCATGGGCTTGAGATGAGCCTGAAGCATTAGTGGTATTTGGATATACAGAAAGGAGGCTGAGGAGTCCCTGAAAACACCAAGACATCATGAGAAAGGGTGCAAATGTCTGTCTGGGGAGTGGGAGGGCACTGTAATGCTTTGGGAAGAGTGGTGAGAAGTGGCAGGCAGGAGAGGAAGGGTGAGACCAGATGGAGTGGCGAAATGAGATGTGTTCTTCTGCAGGAAAGGGGCGCTCCTGTCGGTTCTTAACGACTCAATATAGAAACATGAAACTTTCCAGAACTACTGGGGCCTTAAAGATCAGATACTTTAACCACCTCTACCCCACTCCCAATTTACTGACAGGGAGGCTGAAGTCAAAGGAGAAGCATGTACAAAATCAGAGCAAGAGATAGTGACACAAGTCGAGACAAGAGCCCAGAGCTCCAAAAACCAGTTTGGGCTTCTTTCCACTTGACCATCTCACTAACCTGGTATTATGACACAGAAGCAGACACATCCGGCAACAGAAGACAAGGGGATAAGAGAGACTGCAGTTTAGGAACTGAAAACACTGGCACGGCTGAGTTGGTGGAGAGCAGATATAAAGAAATGGAGAGGATGGGCCGGGTGTGAGAACCACCAAGCACCAAGAAACAAGAAGCCTTAGTAGGAAACGGGATCCGACGGCAAGGGAGAGAGTGCAGGGACAGTACACAGGCAGGGGATTTCTCCTGGGGACACGGTCACGTCACCCCCTTTCCCCAGTCTTAAAGGCAGCAGACAGGCTTGTTGTCAGCTCCCCAGCCTCAGTCCTGCCCTGGGCAACCTGCACACAGATCCCTCCTCCGGGTCTCCTGCTTGACATTTTCGGACTTTTGGTTTCCACTTGTTATACCGACATATCAGTTCTGAAATAAAACGCAAACCAGAACCTAAGAGTGTGGACCCCTCCTGGGGTTACCAGAGCCTATGGGGCTAGAATGGGATGTGGGTTTTGATTTCTGGTGTGAGGAGCAGGAAAATGAGAAACTGTCTCTCATCACCAAGGTTCACCGAGATGGTGAACTGAGAGGCCCCGAGGGGCTATCTCAATTGAAAGCACCCAGAGTTTGGGAGACTCCCAGGAGCAGCCCCAAAGATGAGAACTCTCTGGCTTTTATTTAGAATATCAGTGGAGGCAGGGGGGTGAGGAGCACTTAGGGCAAAAAAGTGTCTCAAGGTAAAAGACAGTGGCCAGACACAACGTGCTTCATTAATGGAAGCTTTTTGTTGTTTAACTGTTCAGGTTGCACACAGCCTGCATGCTTCTGCCCCGAAGTTTAACCATTCACTCCCTAGCCAAGTCCCCCACAGGAAAGAGCTGAGTGGCATCTAGAAGGCTAATTGCAGGAGGGTAATCATGAAACTAGGTGCTAGAATGGGACGTTAAATCAAGACCGCATGGAAAGGAGGACCAAGTGAAACAATACTAGCCATGGATAACATTTACTCAGCCCTTATATAATTACTGTGTTTATCATGTACTACTTCATGTAAAGATCACAAAAAAAGGGTCACAGCAACAGTATATATATATACATATATATATATATATTTTTTTTTTTTTTGAGGGGGCGGTTACCAGGGATTGAACTCAGGATTTTGTACTTGCCGAGCAGATGCTTGTGCTGCTGACTAAACCTCCAGCTGAAGACCATATTCTTAATTGTGCTTTTCCTGCGTGAAACCCACAGAGCCCCTGACCCACTGTCCTCAGTGAGGCTCAGTTCTCCTCCTCAACCCATTGCTTCCTAGGACTCACATTATCACTGAAACCCATTGAAGGGCATATGGAAATTGCTAGAAACCTTGATGTTTCTGAGTTAGTCTGTATGAAATTCTATTGCCCATGCTCTGATGGTTGGAAGAAATGGGGTGAATGCAGCACCAAGGATGCGTATTTGGTTCTGTGACACAGTGATTATGAGCTTGGATTTTGATGCTCAAATCCTAGCTTTGGAAATTCTTGCTGCGAGCCCAATTAAATCACTTCTTTGTTTCTGTTTCCTCATATATAAAATGAAGCTAATGCCAGCTGATCTATGGGAAGCATGAAACGCATGTAAAGCGCCATGTATGACCCCGACACACAGTATGGATCCAAGAGCAGCTGACCATTATGATTATTGTTACCACCACTGTCATTCTGCCACATCACCACGGTCAGTGACACTTGGCCTCTGCATCTGACTGAAATGAGACAGTGAGCTTCCTAAGGAGGAAGAATCCAAAGTATAATATGGCTTCTTCTGTCCCTGTCACTCTGTGGGCCTAGGGTAAGTAGTACCTCAGAAGAAAAAGGGAGCAGAAGTCTCCAAGAGGCCACAGCATGGAGTTGGATCCATCATCTGACTTTTTTTTTGAAACAGAGTTTCACTATGCAGTTCAGATTAGCCTTGGACTCACTTGGCCAGGTTGGCCTCAAATTCACATAATCCTCCTGCCTCAGCATCCCAAGTGCTGAGATGGTGGTGGCATGTACCACCACACTCGGCAAAAATTATTGGTCTATTTTTTTTAAGTACCAGAGTTTGAACTCACAAACTTGTACTTATCAAGTAAGCGCTTGAACCACTGAGCTAAACCCCCGACCCCCAAAAATCTCCTTATTTATTTATTTACTATACCAGAGATTGAACTTGCAACCTTGTACGTGCCAGGCAGGGGCTTAAAGCTGCTGAGCTATATCTCTATCTCCATCTGACATTAAGAGGCCAATAAATAGTCTTCTTGAAGATAGCTAAGAGGGAGGCCTGTGTCAGGACATAGTGGAAAGGCTTGGGGACAGTGTTAGGGACATACAAGGAACTAACTAGTCTTAGGATGACACACCCAGGAAGTAGTGGGATGTGGAAGCTCATCCCATCTTAGACTTGCTTGTCTTCTCCTTGATACACCCTCTTGTGCCTGCACAGTATCCCATTAGGAGTCTCTGGCATGGTGAACAAGAAGACGCAAAAGAAATCAACACATCTGTTTTTGGGAACAATTCATTACGATGAAACTTACTGCCACAGGTCAGCTAGTATGAGAATTACCTTGCTCGTCTGAAGGCATATTCCCGTAAACTCAGCACTCTGGGAGGCTGAAGCAGGAAAATAGCAACTTTCAGCCCATCCCAGGCAACTTTCAGTCTGTGTCCAAATCCTAGGCAGTCAGGAGGATCCTAAGTGTCCTGCACTAAAGGTGACACAGTTTAGTAGCGGAAGGGTCCCCAAAGCGCACTCAGCCACTACCCAGGTTCCTTTACACTCAGCCTCAAATAACAAGACTGATTTCTCAGTTCACTGCACATCAGGAGTTTCAGCCCTGATGTCAACAGGGAGGGCTGCTAGTGGCTGGTACATGAAAAGCTCTGAAGAGTGACAGCTGGTGACCTGGCCACAAGGGAGATGATACAAACCCTGAAAGCAATTGAAAGGGAGCTACATGGTATAGACACCAACAGCAAGCCACACTTTCACAGACCAGAGGGCACCACCTCTCCAACATGAAATATGGTCACAAATACTTCAGCCCCCTACGGATGGCACAGGATGTCAAGGAAGGCCATATGACATGCATGGCTTATGAAATATGAATGGAAAAAATGAGTGTCACTCCTAGATAAAATCTTTTGCAGCTGTAGATGCCTCTCCATGTGGATTAGTCATCTTTCTTGTTGCTGAAACAAAAAACCCAGCAACACCTGCAATTTAAAGGAGGAGAGGATTATTCTGGCTCATAGTTTCATTGGGTTCAGTCAAGGGTCACTCAACTCTAAAGCAGAATGGCATGGTGGGATTGCTTGGTGGAAAAAAGTTGCTCATGTCATGGTGGCCAGGAGGTAGAGAGAAAGGAAGAGCAAGGGACAAAAACACAACCTTCCAGGTAGTGCTCACCAGGCACTACCTAGGAATAACACTTTCAGTTACTGAACTCATCACTGATAAATCCACTGGTGAATATCCCACAATTATCCCATGTGACTAATCCACATGGGTATTCCCATGACCCAATCATCATCCAAACACATGAAATTTGGGGGACACATTTTAGATCTAAATCATGACACCATCCTTTTGTCCAGTGCTACATGGTGACTGCCAATGCTTCCCCAGAGTGGCAGCTTCACTAGCGTGAGTCCCAGAACAAATAAACATGACACTAGGTGTGGCTTACAGGTGTTCTGCAGAGGGCAAGCAGCACAGGCAAGATACAAGTTTCTGTTGCTTTGGGGTTGCTTGAAACACCATATAATCTAACATGTTGGATGCATATCCTAAAAAGCTAAATGAGGTCAGTCTACTTTAAGAAGTATGGGGGCCAGGGGTTTAGCTCAGTGGCATAATGCCTGCTTGGCAAATGCAAGGGCATGAGTTCAATCCCTGGCATCAGGAAAAAAAAAAGAAGTATGTGAAAAAAACCAAGTAGTGTGTGTGTGTGCAAGTGTGCGTGTATGTGTGTGTGTTGTGGGGGAAAGTGCTAGGAATCAAACTCAGGACCTTGTGCTTGCCAGGCAGGTGGGATGCCACTGAGCCACATGCCTGGCTATGTGTGCTATCTTTTAGGTAGATTACCATTCAGGAGCCAGTGTCCTGCTGAATACATGAGTCCTCACCAGAACATGAGCTGGATGGAGAAGGGTCTGGTTTCTGAAGCTGAACCACTCCTTTCTCTTAGGAGGTGCCAGGGCTCCTTTCAGGGCTTTAGCAAACCCACCTGCATTATTTATGGGTCGAAGGCAAAAACTGGGTCTCACCTGCTCTTGCTCCAGAACCAGCCCTTCAGCATTTGCTGTACCAGCACAGGGTCGGCCTGGAGCTGGTCCTGAGTGCTGAGGGGCTCTGGTCCCCATGTTGTGGCGCTTATCCCCACGTGTGTGCTCTTAACATACAAAATCCATGGTGTGTTGTGAGAAAAAAGCAAATGAACAACTTCAGAGTAGACACATTTTTTAAGTATACATGGAACATTTACAAAATCAACATCACACTGGGCCAACAATTAAGGTAAATCTTGAAGGATGGAAATCATATGGGTCATTTCCTCTGACCACAAAGCAATTCATCTAGAAAATAGCAACTATAATTTAGAGAACCCTCCTGTATTTGGAAAATAGAAAACATACATTTTAATAACCCATAGGTTAAATAACCTCTCACTTAATCCTCCCCACTATTCACAAGTAGACTCTCATTTTAGAAATGCAGAAATTGAGACTGGAGAAGAATATCATTTGTTCAGACTTACGAAGTTGGCATCAGTGGAACCAGGACTCAGAACCCGACCATCTAACTCCAGAACCCAGGGCTGTAATGATAACATCCTGACCCTTTGTCTCACTGGAAATCACAGGTCTTCCTGTTGCTTTGGGGGCCTAAGCTTGAACTACTATGCAGGCGCACACTTCCCTTTTGTTCCTGCCTCTTCTGGGGTCCCCTTCCTTGCACTAAAGTGAGAAGTCTTGAAGTCTAAGGTGAATCCCCATCCAGCTTTGAACTACATCTCGAGGAAGAGTTCCTTTCTTTCTAAAGATTTTTTTCACAGAGTGGTTAGTGAACAAAGAAAGACAGAAGGAAAAGCCACTTCCAGATGGCTCCCCATCTTGCTCTAATGCAGATTAAATAGAGAAAATATTCTAACATATCATCAGGCAAACATGAGGATCAATAGCACTTAGATTATAAATGGAACAGAATGCAAATCTAGTATCCGGGCTTAAATTTGGGCCAAGACTCTCAGAGCAAAAGAACAGATAACAAAGGCACCCCAATGCTAAGTAAGTTGGGGTTCATGGCATCTGAGATAGGAGGTAGGACCAAGCTGATCCCAGACCTCTCTAAGCAGTGGTCCTGAGTTCTCCCCTTGTGGCAAAGGCCTGTGTGGATGGCCACTGAGAGCACCGTTATCTACTGGCCATCTCAGCCTACTCGTGCTGTTTCCTGTCAGGATATACTTTTGGCAAAAACCCAGACACCCAAGAGCTCCTGAGGTAGCTCAGCATCTTTGGGCCTGTGTCTCTCCCTGTGCCATGAGAACAATACTGTCTGCATCCCATGGACTCATGTCACCAGTACTAAGTGACCGAGGCTATGTTTGTTGCAATGGGAACACTTAAAAGTAAATGGCAAAAGTGATGACAGTCCATAACCTAGAAAGTCACCTAAGAAGTGCTCATATTTCAGCAAATGGCCCTTTCAAGGGAGAAGGCTGAGGGGCAGGAAGAAAGAGGGCCAGGCCAGGCCAGGCCATCAAAGATTTTTCACTCTGTCCCCTGGCTTCTCATTTCTGCTAAAGCAGCAACCCTGGCACACAGTGAGGGAGCAGGCCCACCAGGCCCACCAGATTGTCTTCACTCCAGGTCTCACCAGCTCAGCTTGCGGTCTGGGGCACTTCCAGTCCCAACCCACTACTTGTTCCTCACACCATCAGGGTTCAGGCCTCACTCAGTTTGCCAATCAACAAGTGATCAGTCCCAGTGTAGATTTAACATCAAGTCCAAAATTAGAATACCCAGTCACATCCAATCAGCAGTGGGATTACATCCTCTTAATCTGTGCAAAATGGTCATGCTGATTACTTCCTGATAGGGTATGGGTGCTTCTAGGTGGCCGCCAAATGGAAACTCAGTGCATGTAACCTTTTCCTAGCAGCCAGTTGTGCCTATAGACTGGACAGATGGTGTGGGGCCCCTGGGGTAAGCGATGGTCCGATGCCTTCAATGAGGTTGTCCCACTGGTCATAGTTCTCTTGCAGGTCTGAATGGGGGGAAAAAAGAAAGGTCAGGCAGATTCTTGTAAGATTAGCTTCAAGAGTTGCTATCAAGAATTCAATGGGCTGTTCTGGAGAAAGAAGCAACCAAAAGGGCTGACTACAGTGGTTGTAATGGTGCTGGCATCTTAGGCTGGGGATTTAGCTCAGGGGCATAAGCACCTGCCTCGCAAGCAGGGGGTCGTGAGTTTGATCCCTGGTACCGATTTAAAAAAAAAAAAAATGGTGGTGGCATCATTACCTTTAAAAACAACTTACATAATTCATGGCAACTTGATATGGACGAGAGGGCAACACTTCATAAAGCACAATTCATTCTAGGGACTGCACCAAAAGCTTTATGTGTACTCACACAACTTTCACAATATCCCCATCGGCTAAGAACTAATGTTTGAACTACTTTATAGGAAGGAAACTGAGGCTGAGGGAAGTGACCTGCTTTGCCCAAGGTCATGACAGCTACTAAGTGGTACAGACCGAATTTAAACCCAGGTCAGAAAGGCAGAGAAAGCCAGGCGTGGTGGCACACTCCTGTAATCCCAGCACCTGGGAGGCTGAGGCAGGAAGATCATTGTAAGTTCAAGACCAACCTGGGCTACAAAATGAGCTCAAGGCCAGCCTGAACTGCACAGTGAGACTCTGTTTCAAATAGATAAAAAAAGCAGAGAAAGTGAAGGATACTTCCAGGGTCAGGAAGAGGTTCCCAGTCCCCTCACCAGTAGATGTAAGGCCAGTGTCACCCCAAAGCAGAGCAACAGGGCAGCAACATCATGGAGTGGCCTAACACCAGGCATGACCCAAGAAGGACTAATTACACAGCAAAAGAGTCAGAATGGGGCCAAGTCATCAGGCCAACAGAGGAGGGTACAGCTGATGAGGCAAACAGTTAGGGACAAACAGAGCCTGTGACAGAGACAAGAACCTCTCACATTCATCTTTGCTCCCCAGTGCACCGCCAAGAACCTGCCAGGGAATAGGTCCTCAACACACAGTTACATATTCATTTACTCAAGCCAGGTGCAGGGGCACACGCCTATAGTCACTGCTACTTGGGAGGCTGAGGCAGGAAGAACACTTGACCACAGGAGTTCAAGCCCAGGCTGAACAATAATAAAGACTTTGGTTTTTTTGTTTGTTTGTTTGTTTTGGTGCCTGGGATCGAATTCATGACCTCACATTTGCAAAGCAGGCGCTTATGCTGCTGAGCTAAATCCCTGGCCCTAAGACTTTGGTTTTTTTAAAAAAGAAAGGAAAAAGAAAAGAAAAAAGGAAGGAAGGAAGAAAGAAGAGAAAAAATGTGAGCCCAGACTGAGCAACTTAGTGAGTTGAGATCCTGTCTCAAAATAAAAAAATGAAAAGAGGGTAAGGATGCACCCCAGTGTGAAGACTCTGAACTACAAAAGAAAAAAAAATTCCCAATACCATAAAAAAAAAAAAAAAAAAAAAAAAAAAAAAAAGAGCCAGAGATTTAGCTCAGCGGCATAAGTACCTGCCTTGCAAACGTGCAGTTTTGAGTTCGATCCTGGTACACACACACACACACACAAAAAAAAAAACAAAGAGCACACTTACTATGTGCCACACACTGTGGTGCTAAGAAAATGTCCAAGAACAAAACAAACAGAACAGTCATCTTCAGAGAGCTCATCATCAAGTGAGCAGAGATAAAGGATAAACACATTAAATTATGTAGGATGTGACGTAGGCATAAAGGCTATGACGAAAAAAAGTCCACAAGAGAGAAGCGGTGATGGGACTAGGGGAGGTGGGAGGGTGGAATGTTTCAAAAAGGGTGGTGGGGTGGGCCTTGCTGAGAACTGAGATTTTAGCCAAGACTTGCAGGAGGTGGGAGTGAGCCAGAATGCCCGGGAGTACAGTTCCAGGCAGAGAGAGCGACTGATGCAAACGCTCTGAGGCAGGTGTGTGGCGGGAGCACTGAGGGTTTACGGCTCAGTGACGCAGGCCAAGGGAGGCGCAGCAGGAGAGGTCAGGAGGGAGCGGGCAGCTGTGTTGCGCAGGCCTGGCAGAGGGGAAGGTTGGCTTCAACTCTCAGAATCACGGGGAGACACTGAGGACCTGAGCAGAGGAGTGCAAGATCTACTTGCTCCTGAAAGAATCACTCTGGCTGCTCTGCGAGGAGACTGTTGGGGACTGGAGCAAGCTGAGACCAGTTAGGAAGCCACTGCTGAAATTGGGTGAGAGGCAATTTGGACAGCACGGTAGCTGTGGGGGTGGAGGCAGGTGATTAGATTTCAGGTGCGTTTTGAAGTCAGAGCCAGCAGGACTTTCAGAGGGGCTAGGTGGGAGGTGTATGAGCAGAGACAAGGATGAAGCCTCTGATCTGAGTAACTGAAAGGATGGAGCTAGCGCTATGCTCTTCAATCTCCAGATCAGTGAGCTACATAAGCCTCTTTTCTCTATAAAGTACTCAGTTTCAGGCATTTTTGTTATACCAGAGGAAAACCAGCTAAGCCAAGATCTAAGCAAGAACCCTGGACGTAGCAATGCTGGCTGAAGAGCAGACAACAAGAAAGGAGAAAATTGACAGTTGTATCAAAAGCAGAGACAGGACTTCCCAGAAGAGGGCATCATCAAGCCTCTCAGGAGCTTCAAGTTCCAGGGAGCAGAGGTGGGAACTGATTATGGAGTGAGCACTGCACTGGTCCTGTTCTCAGGGAGCACTGTGTCACGGAAGCCTGAATGGAGCGAGTTTTAGAGAGAAGTAGAAAAAGTGAAGACAAACCAGGCACGGTGGCAAACACCTGTAATCCCAACACTCTGGGAGGCTGAGGCAGGAAGATCGTAAATTTGAACTCAACCTGGACAACTTAGAAATTTAACAAGATTCTGCTCCAAAAGGCGGGCCTGGGGCTGTAGCTTAGTGCAATGGCCTGAGTTCTGTCCCCAGTAACACAGTACCACACATTCATACCCACACCCACCAAAAAAGGTATGTGGAAAGATATTGTTTTGAGGAGTTCTGTTATTTGCTGTTACGGAAAACAGAAATGGAAGGCATACCACCGAGGTCAGTGCTCTTCCACTGAGCTACCCAACCCAAGAGTTTTTCTTCTTTTTAAGTAAGGCAAGAGAAATGAGCCGGCAGAGAGAAAAACTGATGAGCTAAGGTAAAGAGGGAGACACTGCGGGTCCCACAGGAAGAAGAGTGGGGGTGGCGTGCAGAGGCTGAGGAAGTGCAGGAGGCTCCCAGTTAACAGAGTGGGAGGCACAGTCACCGCTGAGAGGCTGGGGGAGGAGGTGCTAGAGGTCTCAGGAAGGAGAGGGTGTGAAATCGTCTTCCAGGGTAGCAGGAGGCGTCATGTGTGCAAGTCATAACCAGGAGGCAGCGTCTCAATCAGTAGGACACATGTGCACTTTTTGGAGGTGCTTTTCAGGAGAAAGGTGCAACTGAGCCACTTAGAGTCTATTTTAGCTTCTTATGTGACAGCGTGGCTCCCAAAAAGCTTTTCTTCCTTGGAAAGCTAATTAGCCCAGGCAGAGAGCGCTGGCCTTTAATCAGTCTCTATCTTATATCCTATCACCTGGGCCACTCAGAGCTTTTCAGCTGGGCTCTCTGCCTCTTCTCCCACATTTCCAGGCCAACTGCAAGCACAAGTCTAGTCATGGCCTTCTGCTGAAAACCCACCAATGGTTCATTATAGCCTGTGAATATAATTCAAACTTACTTTTTTTTTTTTTTTTGAGACGGGATCTTATTAGGTAGTTCAAGCTGGACTTGAACTCATTATGTAGTCCAAGCTAGCCTCAACTCAGTGATCCTCCTGCCTCAGCCTCCTGAGTGCTGGGATTACAGGTATGCACTACCACGCCTGGTTCAAACTTGTTCCAGCAAATACATGGGTCTCTATGTCTAGCGTCTGGCCACTTCTCTATCTTTGCCTTTCAAAAGCTCACTAGACAGAGCTCCACATATGCTAACCAGTTTCCCAACTGACCAAGTCCACCTAAGGATTTGTGCTTTCTGCCAAGAGACCGATGCCCCTTCCCTGCCTCTGGACTCTCTCAGTCCATCAAAGGCAAGCATCACTGCCTGAGAAGCCCCTTTCCCGGATGTCCTTCTCCCACCAGTTAGATGCCTGTCCTCCAGGTCTCGGGGAGTCACCTGGACTCCCCAGTCATCATCAGAGTCACCAGGAGGAGAGTGCAGCAAGGAAGAGCATGGGCTTCGGAACTGGACGGCCTCGGCTGCACACCGGCTTTGCCAGTTAATAACCAGATAATCTCGGACAAATTAAACAAATACTCTAAGCTTCGGTGTCTTCATCCAGAAAATGAAGTTAATAACAAAAGTACCTCCTAGAAAGGGCTGTCTTCAGAATTGCAGGCAATCATGCGTCTACAGCCTGAGTAGCACTGCTGGCATAAAGTACCTGGCATACGTCAAGTCCTCAGGAGTCCTCCTACAACCTGATCTCTGCTGCCCCTCACCATGCTGCAGGTCTCCACATGCTCTGCTGCCAGGTGATAAAAGTGATGTTCTAACATCTCTATGAACCCTAAAGTCTCTAAAATCAGGCTGGGACAATGGCTAGGATGTGCAAGCTGGAATGGGCTGGTGTAAATTTACAAATGCAAATTTGGTCCAGAATGTCAGTACTACACATACAGTACGATGTATGTGTAGTACCCCCTCTATGAAGTCTTCACACTGTACTATATCTGTGTCCCTTTTTATTTTACTTTTTTAAAATTCTGAGACATGGTCTTGCTGAGTCACTAAATCTCTAGGCTGGGCTTGAATTTGTAATTCTTCTGCCCCAGCTTCCCAGAGTGCTGAGATTACAAGCATGTGCCACCCTGCCTGGTGGGACATATATGTTTCTAAGGCAAATCCAATCCAAATCAAATTTGTTGCACATAGGTGGGAAATGTGAATCCATCTAGGTCTCCCAACTAGAGGCTTAAGTGTTTAGAGCACAGAGAGACAAGTTCCGCTGTACCAGGTGTTTGACCATGTCATGCTCAAGTTAAGGATCACCCTTTAAAAGGGGCACTGACAAATAACATTGTCCCCAAAGGAAGAGGACAATGAGTGGCAACATGGGGGACAGAAGAGGGAAAAGGTCCAGGGGGTTGGGAATTTTAACTTAATGACAGAAAACTCAGAGAGGGCATCAGAAGTGACTTCAAGTATTTAAGGAATTGCCATGTGTCAACTGAGGCTTCTTTGGTCAGCTTTTGAGGGATTAAACTGGACAAGAGCAGCGTACAAAGCATCACATCTTGCTGTTAGATCAAAAGTCAAACTTTGGCAGTCCAGGAGAGCTGAGGCCCTCCTGTGCTCAGGCCCCGCTGTGAGGAGGGTTCAGCCTCACACAGGTAACGGTATCCCCCTCCTTCTGAATGCATTGAAAAGAGACATCTGACCAGCTGAGCTCTAGGCCCAGGTTGGTCAGTGGCCTACGATGTTTTGATAGGCGAAGATGAGCTGATAGAGGTTGACTTGTCTCTCTTGGGAATCTGTCTAAGAAGTCCAAAGTATACGGCGATGAGCAGGGGAAAGGCGTAAGCCCACAAGGCACAGAGAATAAGCCACATGGCTGAAGCCACGTGGTGTTATAAGGCAGCAGAACTGAATGAACAGATGGTATCAGCAAGAGAAAACACACAGCAGAAAGGAAGAAAAGGGTAACCTGGGACCACCACCACCACAACAACAGAAGACAGAGAGCTGAGCGGAGGGGACTGCAGGTGGGCCAGGGAGGAAGACTGCGTGCGAGCTCAGTCCCGCAGGTGACCTAGCTTCTGTAATTCTGCACGGCTGCCCTGGTCCAGCTGCACCCTGCTAGACAAACTTCAAGATAAAGGTAAAGTAGTGAATGTCCAGTCTTTACAGCCCACAAATCTTACCTAGAATTTCAACTCTTAAAACTGTTTAAGTTTACATGGTGAGGGGGGCTTGACTGCAACAGGGAAGACACAGGAGGAGAGGACACTTCCTCTGGGGGAGCTGGGCCGGAGACCTCTAAGGGCCTTGCCAGGCAGCCAGTCTGTGACTTAGGACATTAGTCACAATCCCTCCGTGCTTGGTTCTTTACAGCACTTCCATATATTTAGCCCAGTTATCATGACGAGCTCCCTACAACGCCCATCAAGTGGCAGCTAAGTTTAGGTCAGGACAGTCATGGTGGAGCAGAGAGGTGAGTGGCCTGTTTACAGTGAGGAAATCAAAGCTGAGAAAGGTAAAGTAACTAGGCCCGGGTCATTTACCTTCTCTAAATTAGAGCAGAGTCTCCAGACTTTCAGGTAAATGTTTTTTCTCTACTTCTATGTATGTCTCCTTTCACTCAGACCCCAGTCATATCAGGATAGACCACTGCGCTATGAGAAACTCAAGGATCCCAGATAGGTCCCACAGGCCCCAGCTCACTCCTTACCGAGGTGTTTCTGCAAGAAAGCCAACATGGCCCGTACCATGATCTCCTGACCTTGGTAGGGGTCCAAGCTGCCACGCATTTGAGCGGAAAAGAATTTGCCAATTAAATTGCCAGTCACAAAAGCAAAGTCAGTTTGATTCCGATGGATGCAGCCACTAGAGGAAAAGAAAAACAACTGTAAGGGGCCGGAGGTTAGACATACACATGTGCACCTACTGTGTGCAAGGTGCTTTCCACACACTACCATGCGGAATTTTCACATCAGCCCTGTGAAGGCCGCATCATCCGGTCTCCTCAGAAATGCTGACAGCAAAGGGCAGAGCTAAGATTTAAACTCAGGTGTGAGCGGCCGCAAGGCTGGCTCAACTCCTAGACTACAATTGACAGTGCTGGGAAAAGGCTGCGCTTGCTGGAGCCAGGCAGGTATCTAGCGCCTGCCATTCTCACGGTACTTCAGTCTGTTTCGTTATAGCTTTACTCGGTGTCTTCCAAATACTGTATCATGGAGTAAACAGAGAAGAGGAACTACTTGCTCTTATTTAAATAGTCAGAAAACTGAGGGTAAGTGCACGTAGCAATGAGTTTTTAGATTAAGTCCTTTGGCTTAATCTAAAAACTTGGCTTAATCCTTTTTACAGGATTGAAAACAGGTTCACTCTGGGATAAATTACTCATAATTAAATTTACTACACAATTCAGTGGGGGGAGATTTAAATGCTATACCCTCTGATACTGTGCTGCTGGGAATGGAGGCACATGTCTGTAATTCTAGCATTCAGGAAGCTGAAGCAGGAGGATTACTGTGATTTTAAAGCCAGCCTGAACGTGAATTTAAAGGGATCTTCAAATTCCACCCTGTCTCAAAAACAAAAACAAAAACAAACTATTAAAAACAAAACAACTATCAAAAACAAACTATAGGGCTGGGGATTTAGCTCAGTGGTGTAAGTGCCTGCCTGGCAAGCTCAAGGTCATGAGTTTGATTCCTGATACCAAAACAAACAAACAAAAAAATAGTGAAAAACTATCAAAAACAGCAACCATGCAGAAAAACTAATTTAAAAAATACATTACTTAAGGGACACAAAAAATGTACAGGACAATGAATACTTAAGTATTCAGCACTCAGTTTAAGAAATAGCACATTGCCAGGTTGGTGGGGAATAGCTCAGGGTAGAGCACTGGCTTAACATGCATGAGGCCCTGGTTCCATCCACAGCACTGAAAAGAAAGAGAAAAAGAAACACATGCTGCCAGGAGCTAAGTCCTGCTTGTGAGCCCATTCCAACTGTCCCCATTCCCTGCAGGTCCCTACAGTTAAAACTTGGATGGATCTCGAGATGCTTCAGCCTGAATTCTCCAACGCATCAACATCAAAATGACAGGGGAGGGGCTGAGCCTAGCATGCAGGCCAGGGCAGAAGACAGTGACTACCAGAGACTGCTGGTGCGCAGGGCTTTGGCTTATGCTTTGACACCTGAGTGACTTCAGAGGGCCACAGGTTTCTGAGATGAGACCTGGGATCCCTGATGCATGTGTGCTGTGTGGCTCAAGTGCAGGGTGGCAGTAAACCAGGGAGACCCCAGCTCTGGTTCTGGAGCTCCATGACACCTCCTGTATCTGTCATTGTCCCAAGGTTACTAAAAATTGTTTCCTCTGAAAAAAATGGCCCTAAAAAAAAAAATCAACCAATAATGTCAGTGATGGCAGTAAGGAGAATGTAGTTTCTCTTGGCCAGAATATAGATGGTTTATGGGAGAAAATATATGTTGGAGTAGTATCTTTGAATTTAGGTATGCATGAAACTTCTAAGCAGCCTTCTGGTGAATATCTAAGGTCTATTACTGCCATACTCTTCAAAAGACCAATAAGATTCCAAAATGATCTTGGAACCCATTCAGACTCACCTCCCTTCCTTGCCAACTCACGATCCCAGAAGGCACCAGAGAAGCCCTATCAGAAAGCCATATAATTCACTGAAGAAAATCACTGTGGGCAGAGTTAAGTGAAAAATGGGCAGATAGGAAATTCTGAAGCACATAAGACTGCAGTTTAGGAAGTATTCATAGTCTATTTTTTTTTTCATATAGTCCATTAATGGGTAGAAAGTTCTGGATGATCCAGAAGAAATCCAGGGGAACATAGTTGAGTGAGAAATGGAGAAGACACTGGGATCGTGCCTTTGGGGCTCACTTACAGGACAGTTATGATCTTGGATTGTTTGTGCTGGGCACATATCTTCTTCATCAAGTTGACGCTCTCCACTGTCTGGAACTTCTCAACGTTGATAAAGAACACAGGGCCATGGGCATTGGGATAAAAGTCCCGTTCCAGAGGAAACATCCAAGCATCCAGGGCCACAGCACACCTGGAACAGGACCAGATATTGCGAGTTGCCACACAGAAACCCAGGCAAGAATAGTTAGGGTATAGGAGAAGGGATGGGGTTCTGAATTGTCAATCAGAAGAGGGCACCAGGGTCCATACACGTCAGTTAGAATCTTGGGAGAGAGTTCACTTTTAGCTGTTATCAAAGATCCCTGTAGAGTTTACACTCCTCAAGAATCAGATCTCTTCCCTGGATCTAATCTCAGGTTAGGTCAGGCAGACTCAGGTTATACAGAATGGCACTTCATGCATCTACCAAGTCACAGTGCCTACAACGACATGTTTAACCTGTGCTTCTGGCACAGAGATAAATGACAGAGTTCCTGCTCTCCAGGAGCTCCCTTGCCAGCAAGAGACAGAGACTAACAAGGCAGCAAAAAGATACAGCTTACTGCCTTAACTGCACAAGGTGCTATGTGAGCCCAGAGCCATGTGGCAGGGGAGGTCAACAAAGGCCTCCGTGGTGCCAAAGGCAAAAACAATGTCATCTGTGGCAAACTGTGGCCCTAAGATTTGGCACGCCCCTCTCACCCTAGTCTTCTCTGTCTCAATTAGGGACCCTCAAATTCCACTCAGATGAGATACACAGCGGAAAATCTTGATTTGCCCTCTTCTTTACCTCACCCATCACTAAGTCCTGAACACTCTAACACACATCTTGATTCCATTCCTTCTCTACCTACCCTAACGCAAAACCTATCCTCTTAGCTTTGTGCTCACACAGCCTGCCTCCAGCTAATCTTCAGTCCGGCCTGGCTACCTCATAGTACACAGAAGGCTCTTTGCAAATGTAAATACTGATTTTTCTCTGTTTATAATTATTCTCCATTATACTTAGAATAAAATATCTAAATTTCCTTATCTTAAACCTGGCATGGTGGCGCACTCTTGTAATCCTAGCACTCAGGAGCCTGAGGCAGGAGGATCATAGTGAGTTCAAGACCAGCCTGGGCTACAAAGTGAGCCCAAAGCTAGCCTGAACTGCATAGCAAGACCCTGTCTCAAAAAGACAAATAAATAAAATAAAAATAAATATCCTTATCCTTGTCAAAAAGCCCTGTGATAGCCCCCGCTAATCTATGATCATGTCTTAAATCACTGTTTCTCACTAGACTCCTCCCCCACCGACACAGCCAGCTTCTCCCCACCTCAGGGCCTTTGCATTAGCTGTTCCTGCTAGACAGAGTGGTCTCCTAAGCCTTTTAAACTTCATCTATGTCCCTTTCCAGAGAAGCCTCCAGTCACTTTAGTGTATCAGCCTGTTTTATCTTCCCCACTACATTTAAGTACTGGGGATTTTACTATCTGTTAACTCCTTTTTTGGGGGCGGGGGGGTTTACCAGAGATCGAACTCATGACTGTATGCTTGCCAGGCAGGTGCTTGAACCGCTGAGCTAAATCCCTGGCTCTGCTAAATTCTTTACTAATCTATCCTCTCCTCTAATAACATAATTCTATGATATCAATCTTTCCTTCCCTCACCTTTCTTTCTTTTCCCGGTAAAGGGAGATTATACCTAAGAAGCACTGAACTACAGCCTTAACCCTTCTTAATTTTAATTTGAGACAAGGTCACACTAAATTGCCTATGCTATTCTTGAACTTGTGATCCTCCTGCCTCAGGCTCTTGAGTAGCTAGGATTACAGACGTGTGCCACCATGTCCTGCTAGGTCTCTTTTCCGGACTTCACCATTGACTCCCCAGCCCCTTACACATGCACAGGACATAACACTTGTGTAATAAACCCTTGCTGGATGAGTGAATGGTGTGTGGTGCTAAGAGCAACGGCATCACCCCGAAACTCACCGAAACTGGGGCTCCTTGGCCAAAGCCAGAACAGCTGTGGCCCCTCCAAATGAATGTCCCATCACAGCCACGCGGCTCATGTCGATGCTGCCCTGAGGAAGGCAGAGAGGTCAGCCATACCAGAAACTCAGGAATGCTTTTTAGGGAACCTCTCAGGGGCAAGAAGAAGAATTAGTAGGGAATGAGGCGTGGGCACAAGTGGAGGCAAAACCGAACTATTCAGACCTCCGGGGCGTGGCTCAGACACGCAGCACGTGCCCAGCATGCCTATGGCTCTGGGTTTGATCCACAGCACAACAAGGAGAAAAAGAACCTTTTGCTTATTAGAGAATAGTCAATCCTTCCTTGGCATAAACAGCCTTCTGTAATCAGGAATTCTGAGAACCATGTTTTGCACCTTTTTTGGGTGGGTGGGGGTGATCTGACCACCTAACCAATAGCACCTGGCCTAAGGTAGACACTCAGATATCTGGATAAGTGAACAGACAAACCGTCAGGCTCCACACAGTGGAGGAGTGTGCTGAGACAGGAGACGATCTCCATGCTCTGGATTCCTTGCCTCACACACTGGTCCTGGGTACGTGACTAGGACCACGCTGCGGGGAGGAGGGGGCGCTCCTGCCATCCTTCCACTTTGCTCTGGAGCAAGGACTGCTTGTGCAGAAACGAACTCAGGCCCAACTTCTTCTTAGGTATCTGCCCTGATTTTTATCCAAATCCCAGGAGCAGAGAAAGTCTGTTCGCTCTAACTGCTCTGCAAGTGCCTATTTCTGGTTATCCTCAGAAGCCTTCAGGGCATGGTTATATAAAAAGCCACTGCAGCCACCTGCTGAGGGCCTTGGAAATCTCTCCAGGCTCTGAGGCTGTCTCTGCTCAGAAGCCTCGCTCTCCCCGGTTTCTAACCCGAGGCTTTGGGCCTAAATCCGCCTCTTCACTCAGTTTCCTTCAGATTGGGAGTTTGGGTAGATGCCCTCTTCTTCTATCTTTTTTTTTTTCTTTCTTTCTTTCTTTCCTTTCCTTTCTTTCTTTCCTTCCTTCCTTCCTTCCTTTTCTTAATTAGTGAAAATACTCACATACCTCCAAAATTAGAAGTATATAGACAAGCCTGCCACCTTCTCAGCTTCATTTCCACAGTGGCCACTTCCTTCTCCTAAAACAGGTCAGTGTTTCTTACGTGATCTGGCAGAGATTGTTTATGTATGTAAAGTAAACATGAATGTATACTTGCTCCCCTCTTTTTATAAGTGTTTCTTTGTCTAATGTATTTGTGTAACAGTCTCAGTACAAGTACAACTTCCTTACCCTTTCTTACAGCTCCCTTTGACTTCACTTTAGGTGGATACCTGGCTGATCACCACAGACAGTTTCCCAGCCCGTAGATATGGCTTTGTGATGGAGTTCTAACCAAGAGAACATGAGCCAAGATAATATATCTACGCCCAGATCTGGTCCCCAAAATCTCTCTTGTACCCTTTCCCATTTTGTTGGCTTATACACAGCAAATCTGAATTCATGAGTGAAAGAGGGTGGAGCCCTAAGATAAAAGGACCTTGGATCCCTAAGTGAGGAGCACCTTGTCACCACTATGTAGCAGAGAAATTTCTACTGTAGTAAGGCCCTGAAATATGAAGGGCCTTATGTATGTATTATACCAATGCACATTACTCAAATAATATGTATACTTCTCCATAATCTACTAGCCAGTCCTCTTACAGGTGAACATCCGGGCTATTATCAATCTCTTTCTATTATAAACACTGGAATGAACAACCTTAGACACACATCACGTTGCATGTGGGCTGTGCAGGTATTATAAGTTAAGTTTCTAGAACTGGAAACTGCTGGGTCAAAGAATACTTGCTTTTGTAATACTGACAGCTCTTGCCAAACTGCCTTCCATGGGACAATTTGTACTTTCACTGGCGATATAGAGAATACTTAATTCCCTATAGCTTGTCAACAGAGGGAATAATTAGTTTTTGGATTTTATTCAATCTGGTAGGTGAAAATTTACTTAGCTTTTTAATTCTGTATTTCCTTCAAAAGGGTACATTTTAAATAACCCACCTGGACTGCAGCCTGCTATTTCCTGAGGCCTACTTCAGGCTCCCAGGCAATGTGGACCCTCACTTCAGTGCTGCTTCTCTGTGGGGGTCTAATAACACTAAGTAGTTAGCAAAGCACTCTAGGGCCTACCAAGTAGATGCATGTGTCTAGAAGTTAGAGGCTGTAACAGAGATTTTCTAAGAGACTTTGGAGGCAAAGGGCACAGCTTTTGATATTTAAAAAGCCCCAGTTTAAGGTCTGATTCAACCACTTACTTAGCTGTAATTCTGGGTAGATACTTAGCCTTTGACCCTTGGTTTCTCTCAATATACAGAGATAATAATGTTGACTTCATAAATTTGTGTAAGGGACTCTGATCATGGTGATTAATCAAAGTATAGTATGTTCTTACTTGTGCAGAAGAATATTACATGACTATTAAAATTTATACAATAGAAAAACATTAATGCAAGAAGAATCTCATACTATTTTGCTAAGTGGAAAAAAGAGGCCACAAAATTGTTTTAAATGACAACATGATTGAACTGGGTATAGTAGCACACACCTGTAATTCCAGCACTTGGGAGGCTGAGGCATCAGCCTTGGGAGGCTGAGGATCATTGTGAATTTGAGGCCAGCCTAGGCTACATAAGTGAGTTTGAGGTTACCTGCACTCCATAGTGAGACCCTGACTCAAAAAAAAAAAAATTATATAACATTATTGTTTTAAATATATATGGTAGATGTCTTGTGCTCTGAGTGATTTGGGGATGACAATACGCAACGTATATAACATTGTTGGCCCCTGATTGATGTGCTTTGAAATTTTGTTATGGTTTTTTTTAATCTTCTTTTTCTTTTTTTTTAACCTTTGAATAAAATGGACTTGAAAAATACACACACACATATATATATATGAAAATTGGGGTATGGTAGTGTACACCTATAATCCCAGCTACTCAGGAGGCTGAGACTGGAGGATCACTGTTACGGCTTGTAACTAGATTCTCTCCAAAGCCTGCTGTGGTCACAGGTGGGGCTTTTTGGAGGTGGCTGGATCTAGGGTGTATTAACTGTGTAATGTTGGAATTAAGGGTGCCCATGCTGGGTGTGAGTGGCACTGCCCAAGGCACAGGTAGCCTGGAAGAAATATAAAGGCAGGCTTACTGCTGCTGCCGCTTTGTTGCCTCTCCCTGCCCTGCCACACATCAGCTGTTTTCCCTCTGCAGTGCTCCTCTGCCAAGCTACCATGCCTTGGAGCCAGTCAGCTATGGAGTGAAACCTCTACAAACTGTAAGCCAAAATAAATCTTTCCTCCTGGGGGAGAAACAGGAAGGACGCTACACAGCCCCCTGATGTATCAGCGGTGGCACTGCCACCTGGAGAGAGACAGAAGGGAAACTATGCAACCACCTCCCCCATGAGACAGCAGATGCATGGGCTGGGAGAGAAGAACCCCTCCACCCCGCAAAAGCAACAGCTGATTCAGGGGAGCACAGGCTGAGACTATAACAACTGAAGTAAAGTATCAACCTAACGCTTGATTGACTTTGCAAGCCTAGAGTCTGTGGTCTGAGCAACTCTTTAGAGGATAACAACATGCAACGTAGTAACTATCATGGATTTCCTACTGTCTTATCAGTTTTGATTTGTTTTGTTTTATTCACTTTAAAATAATAACAAAAAAATCTTTCCTCCTTTAATTTTGGGTGTCAGGTATTCTGTCTCAGCAATAAGAAAAGTAGCTAAGACAACCACCAAGTTCTATCCCAGCCTGGGATGCAGCTCAGCCCTGGGTTCAATCCTCCATAATGCATGTACACAAAACATACACATGCATACATGCACACAGAAATTAGACACACTAATAGATAGTTTGAGAAGATGGATAGATACATGTTAATGAATCTAAAAAAAACTAGAAAGACATCAAAAACATTTTAGAAGGTTTTTTTTCTTTATTCTTTTGTGTGATTTTTTGGTTCTCTGAATACAGTCTGAATTATTTTCAAAATTGGGAAAAGAGGCAGGGGTTTAGCTCAGTGGCACAAGTGCCTGCCTGACAAGTGCAAGGTCATGAGTTTGATCCCCAGGACAAAAAAAAAATTGGAAAAAGATTGGGTAGGAGTGGAGACTGTACCTTCATAGGCATCCAACCCCACAGCCAGGGTGGTTTCATATCCTCCTGCGAGGGTGCCAGGATGTCCCCAGGGGAAAGAATTAGCCTGCAGTAGGCAGTCACTGCCCCATAACTTCCCTGGAAAATGAACCAACTCTCTTCTATGCACGTGGCCCTGGTGGGGCATCAATTCCAGAGCTCAGATTCCCATGACCCGGAAGAGGATACTCGTAGGCCAATTACAATACCCTTTCCTTCTAGCACAGTGATTGGCTTGGGGATGATGAAGAGGATGTGATCCATACCAGGTCACAGCCCAGAAACAAATTTATCTATCTGTCCATCCATCCATCCATCATCTTGTGATACTGGGGATGGAACTCAGGGCCTTCACACTGATCTATATCTCCAGCCCCTTTAAAAATTTTTAAGACAAGGTCTCAGTAAGTCACCAGGTTGCCCAGGGTGGAGTCAAACTTATGATCCTCCTGCCTCAGTCTCCCAGAGTGCTGGAATTATAGGTATGCACCATCACATCCAGCTCTCTGCTTTTTAATTCTGGAGCTATGAGTTGAGACACAAGCCTGGGCTGCTGGCAACTATTTTTCTTGCCTAAAGGAGAATGTCTAATGAGAAAGAAGCCCACATGCACATACAGAAACTAAGCCATAAAGGAAGGAAGGATACCAGGGCTTTCACACAATGTCTGCAGCCCTGGATGCACTGACACTGGCCTGAAATCTGCCTGTGGTCTTGCTAGTTGTGTGGGCCAGTAAGTTCTCTTTGGGGTTAATCTAGCGAGATGGGTTTGTTACTTGTAACCAAGAAAGTAATGTGGGCTGAGTCATACTAGTGGCTGCCATACCTTCAAGGTCATCAGATCCAACCCCCCAGGCAAGATGTTGTGGATAGTCTTCCCTGCATTGACTTCCTGCAGAACCCTCAGCACGTGAACACACTCCTTCACCCGCTGGTGTACCTGCAACAGAGACAGGGTGATGCGAGCCGGAACATGCCACAACCGTCTAGCAAGAACCGTACGGGTAGGGGTAGCTGCCCGCGCATATCTCAGCAATCAGCTCTTGTGGCTCACGAGAACACCACCTAATGGCATGATCGAATCAGTCCTGTTGTTCAGACTCGGTCAGGAAGATCTAAGAGATGATGTACATGAAACCATTTTAAAAACAAAAGGAATCAAGAGTGTTACTAGCAACCCAGTGCTGGGTTCTTGCCCATTTATAGCACACATCTGTTGCTTTTGTCTGCCTAGCACTTACCAGTCAACTCCCTCCTCCTGCTACCCCACTTTCTGAGGACCATCCCTGGGCCAAATCTAATGAGATATTTCTGGGGGGAACTTTCATCTTGGTACTTCTCCCCAGGCTAGAAATCCCTCTCTAGAACTTTTCAAACTCTAGCTTGGTGCAGGTGTGGGAGACTGGGGAGGATCCCTGTACAGCCCTATCCTCCAATGATGAGGCTGAACACATGCAAGCTCAGACCTGTTAAGAACTGTGACACAAACCGTGGGAAGCAAGTCAATTTACAGGTGAGCCCAATGGCACAGAGAGAGCTGAGCCAGTGCTGAGAGCAGGTGTTAACCATTTGAAGCTGGTTCCAGGGGTCTTGTTTTTCCTATAGTCTAATGATGTGAGCCAATTACTTCTGTTTCTCATATAAACAAGCTTAAATTGGCTTTCTGATCCTGGAAATTATAAAAGACGTGGTTAATATCCCATTTATTCCCACTGATGTAGTGAGCTTAGAACCACCATGATAAAGATTTCAAGAGAGGTTAAAACATTTGCTTATTGACTGGTATGGTTTGGATAAGCAGCCTCCAAAGGTCCACTAGTAAAAGCTTGGTCTCTAGGGTGGCACTTAGGGAAGTGGTAAATCCTTTAGGAGGTGGACCTATTAGGAGGCCCTCAGATCACTGGTGACATGGCATCAAAGAATGATGGGACCCCCAGTCTCTTCTGCTTTGAGTTCACGAAGTGAGTCCCCCCCACCACCACCACCATCACCACCACAGCACTGTTCTCTATCACCCCCGGAGGCTCAAAGCAGTGGGCCCACCTGACCTTGGACTGGGACCTTCAGAACTATGACCTAAGTAAACCTTTGCTTTTATAATTAGGGCAGGTATCTCATTACATTGATGGAAAGCTGATAATATACTGGGTATAACACAAAAAAACAGGGTTATTAACTCTCCCTCCCGCATTGGCGTAAGTCTACCTGGGGATTTCGAACGTGGAATTCCTTCTCCCCGTCCTCAATCTGACGATAGGGGATCCATTCCTCCTCCAGTGACTCACTGGTGGGCTGGTTCTCTTCTGGGGCCTGCTTGCAGAAATAGGTAGCAGCAGCTGACTGGTCCCTGAAACACACATGCCGCCAGACAGAAAGCATGAGAAACTCATCAGCTTACGTCTCTCCTTTACCAACTCCTCCCTTCCAGCCAAGAGAGACAGGCTGAAGGAAATGTGAGGGGAGGCAAAGGAGAATACAGAAAACGTGAATTTTGGAGACAGACCTAGACTTCGAATACTGACTCAGCTGTGTCAGTTTCTGCAAGCTATCTTTGAACTCTGGTTTTCTCCTTTTAAAAATAACTACAACACCTTGTCTCGATGGGAGGATTAGAAATGATACATTGGAGCTGGTGGGCTAGTCAGCGGTTGAACACTTGCCTAGTGCGCTCAGGGCTTGATCCCCAGAACTGTAAAACAAAACAAAATCTTTTGAAAAAGTAAAAGAAATCACACACTGATAGGGAACTAGCCTGTCTCCCAGCTCCCTGCAGGCACCTACTCCATGACAGGTCAGTGCAGCTGTCATCTCTCACCTGTGCTCTGGCACAGCTACCACAAAGCCACGGGAGGCCAGCTCCATGCAGAAGGCTGAATACAATGTCCTAGAGATTCAGAAAAGAACAGAAAGAAAGGGATCAAAAGAACAGCCCCACTTTCACCCCCATTCCAACCATCTCAAAGGACTGACAGGCGGAGTCTGTGTGGGGCAGCTCCCGGCAAAGGCCTCCTCTCCCAGCATGCCCATGTCCTCCACCAGCAAGCACATGCAGGTCAACCCACCTGATCCCACTGAGACAGCCCAGCCCCAGCCCCTAAATGTACCTCTTCAACGGCACTTTTATTGCCTATATAATGTATGTCTTCCAAACAAGTTATTATGCTCCTTGAGAACAGAGACTGGCTATTGCTTTACTATGCAAATCACTTATAATTTAGCATACAGATTTTTTGTCTATCTTCAAACTTTCCATTAAAAAAAAAAAAGAATATGGTAGATACCATTGAGTGCTCACTACAAATGCCTGTTTTTTCCTTCTTCAATAATGAATTTCGTGCCAGGTATGGTGATGCATGCCTGTAATCCTAGCTTTGTGGAGGCTGATACAGGAGGATTGGCGTGAACTGGAGGCCAGCCTGGGCTACGTAAGTGAGTTCAAGGCCAGCCTCTACTATATAGTGACACCCTTGCTTCAAAAAAGGAAGGAAGGAAGCAGCAGCAGCAGCAGCAGCAGCAACAGAAGCTGATTTTGATGACACTGTCAAAGTATTCTACTTCCCAGCCTCCCTTGTGAGCCAGGTTAATCTATGTGGTTAAGCTATAGCCCAGTATGATACAACAGAAATATAATACTAAATTTAAAAGTAATTTAAATATTTCTAGCAGATTTTTTAATTCAATTTTGTTGTTGTTGTTTTTGAGGCAAGGTCTTACTATATAGTTCAAACTGTCCTTGAACTCACTCTGTAGCACAGACTGGCCTCAAACTTGTGGCAATCCCCTGCCTCAGCCTCCCAAGGGCTGGGATTACAGGTGTGTGCCACCACACCCAGCTTAGCAGACACATTTTAAAAAGTAAAAGAATCAGATATTAACTTTGATCATGTTTTATTTAAACTATAACACTCTACCACATTTATTATATTTTAATTTTATCTATTATACCTATTTAATCTACAGTTTCAACATGTAATCAAAAAATTTTAATTAACAAAATACAGTATTCTTTTATTCACATGAAGTCACTGAAATGTAGTAATGTTTTACACTTGCAGCACATCTCAGTTTGCACCAGTCACATTTCAAGGGTCCAACAGTCACATGAAACCAGACACTACTATAAAGGACAGAGTATCTGTAGCGAATGAGTTAAGATGTATTAAATAAATCTTCGGGAGCTAGCTGCAACCGTAATCCCAGCACTCTGGGAGGCTGAGGCAAGACTGCAAACTCAAACCCAATTCGGGCGACTCATTCAAACCCTGTCTCAAACAAAGCAGGGGATGGTGGTGTTGGGGATGTAACTCAGTATGAAAGCCCTGGGTTCAGTTCCCATTACCTTAAAGAAAAAAAAGAAAAAGAAAAACGAACAAAAGAAAGAAAAAGAAAAGAACTTCCAGATTTCCTTTACTCCCTTCCTACTACTGAGCTGGAGATGTAATGGCTAGAACTGAAGCAGCCATCCTGGCTCATGAAATAACTTTAGAGAAGGGAGACGCACACAGCAGAAAGAGATTAAAAAGCAAGTCTGAGTCTCTGATTACTTCATGGAACTATAATACCCAGCCTTGTCTACCGCTAGCTTTTATCTGAGAGAGAAACCTTATTATGTTTTAGTCACTACAGTTGGAGGATTTTCTGTTAAATACAACTTGCCCGAATCCTAACTGATACAGGAAAGTCAGGTTTCCTTTCAGCTTTTCTCACTGTTCCAGGGAAAGCAGTGAACTAGACTTTAAAAGCAAAAAAGCTTGGCACAGTGGCACATGTCTGTTATCCCAGCTACTTGGGTGGCTGAGATGGGAGGATCCTGGTTGGGTGACATGGTGAGACCCTGGTTCAGAGAAAGAAAAAAAAAAGCCAGGTATGGTGCACACGCCTGCAATCCTAGCACTCAGGAGGCAAAGCAGGAGGATCACAGTGAATTTGAGGCCAGCCTGGGCTACGTAAGCAAGTTCAAGGCCAGCCTGCACTGCACAGTGAGACCGTGTCTCAGGGGTGGTGGGGGAGAAGTAGGGAAGGGGTCAGGACTTCAGGCTTTCTGATTCCTTCCCAGTCTGAATGCTACAACCGTGGGAAAGTCTGTCATTCAAAACATTTGCTCAGCTGTAAAATGCGCTTCCCTGCCTGGGACAGCAGCATGGGAACCACATAAGCAGTGGCACATTACAAACAGGCAGCACCTAAATGCACATACTCCCTGCTGGGATAAAGAACCACAGCTCCCTGGCATGGGAAGGGCTTCACAGCTAAATCAACCAGAGATGCGACTAAAAGAAAGTGCCCCTTGCCCTCCCTGCCCCTTTTCTTGGAATGTCATTTGTTTTGGGGGTTTTTCCTTTTCCCTCCTACTTCTCTTTTTTCAGTACTAAGGATTGAACTCAGCATCTTTGCACTGAGCTACATCCCCAGCCCATTTTATTTTATTTTATTTTATTTTTTGAGACAGGTCTCACTAAATTGCCCAGGCTGGGTTCTAACTTGTGATCCTCCTGCCTCAGCCTCCCAGAGTGCTGGGATGCTCTGGTTAGTGAAGAGTATTTATAACTACTTCACTCTGGGCTTGAGGTATGAAATTTCAACAAAGATGCTTAGACCAAAAAGATGACCTCCAAAGTCATGAGCTTACTCGCTCTAAACTATACCCCTGGGTGTAGGAGGGAACATCTTTGTCTCTTTTCCTTGCCAGCTGAAAATTTTTCTGAAGGCAGGGACTCTCTTACTCACTATTCGATGTCCAGCCCTGGCATAGAGCACGTATCCAGCTCACTGAATCAGGAAATAACACCGAAAACGACCTCCTTGCCTTTCAGTCTTTTCTCCATAATCTGCTCTCTGCTTCCTAGTGAAGGCCAGTTACAGAGGTCTGCATGCCAGCTTCTCTAGTGGACGCAACTTCCTGGAAAGTTTATCTCCGGATGCCCCGCTTTCCTCTCATGCCCATGAGAAATCTGGCCCATCTGGCCCAAAGCTCAGCAGATATCCACTGAGTAAGAACTCAGCAAAACACAGCACTTCTATTCATACGATTAATTTTTTTTAAACTATCATTTTTCAGGCACTAAGAATGACAAAAGACAGACATGGTCTCTGCCTTCATGGACTTTATAGACATTAAATAATAATCATAGCTGGATGTGGTGATGCATACATGTGATCCCAACACTCTGGGAGACCAAGGCAGGAGGGTCACAACTTCAAGCCTAGTCTGGGCAACTTGGTAATTTAGTGCCCCATCTCTTTTTTTCTAAGAAAATAAAACTCAAATTAAGACTTTTAATGTGTTTGGGATTTATGCAAGAGATGACAGGGCGAACAGAAGAGATGAACAGCACAGATAAAGACCCGAAGAAAGGAAATAACACAGTTCCTGTAAGCAAAGTTCAACTTGTCTTCTCCTTTTTCTCTAACCAGAGTCTCAGCATGTCGCCCAGGCTGGCCTTGGACTCAGGGTCCTCCCACCTCAGCCACCCAAGCAGCTGGGACAACAGGCATGTGCCACTGTGCCAGGGTTCTTTGCTTTTGAAGTCTGGTTCACTGCCTTCCCCAGGAAAGTGGGGAACCTGCAGGAAACATAAGAACCCAATCTGCCCATATCAGTTAGGATCTGGACAAGTCGTATTTAACACAGAATCGCCCAGCAACAGTGACTAAACCATGATGAAGTCTCTCTCATAAAAGCTAGAGGTAGACAAGGGTTGGTAAATAATTCAAAAAAGGCAGGGGATGCAGCTCAGTGCAAAGACTGGGTTCAATCCCCAGATGCCCCTCCCAAATATAATTACGTAAATAACAAATTTATTACAATCATGTTAAGTACTAAAAAGCAAAAATTGTACTGGGAAACTTAACCTAATATAATAAAGGGGACAGGGTGTGTATCCCTAATTCAGATCTTAAAGGTAACTGGAATTTAGGCAAGAGAAGTAGAAAGGGAGTATAGAATGCGATAAGAAAGACAGCAAATATTCCAGACAAAGGAAAAAGCCATGAAGTACAGCACAGAGAAAGACCCCAAGACAGGAAATAACACAGTCCTCTAAATTAAGTAAAAGAAGATCAGCTTATCCACAGAGCAGGAGAGGGGAAATAGGAAGAAATGAAACTAGACACTCTTATCTGGGCCTGCATCCAGGTAAGACCATGAAAAGAATGCAATTAAGTTCAAGGTGCTAGTAAAAAGTTTCAATTAAAGGAAGAACAGCCATTCATTCCCTCGACAAACATTTACTGAACATTAACTACATGCCAGATACTGTTTAAGGTGCTAAGAGACAAGGTCACATTTGGTTTTAAAATGGACCTGGCTATCATGTGGACAATGGTTTGGGTGTGGTGAAGTCTCTGAGATGCTCCCACACCACACCATAAACTAGACAGATACATTGATGGATGAACATTCACAAGCTTGACCACGACAGTTGCACTGTAATTATTAAGCTACAGTATGTGATATGCCATAGTGTGGAAACCAGAACTCACAGGAAGATTCCTAAAACATAAATCAAAGTTTCCCAAGTCTAGTGAAAGAGATCACCTTGTCCCTCCACATGAAGAAACGGTGGGGATGGATGACAGGCGTCAATCCTCCCAAATGCGTGTTCTCACAGACCACCCTGTGGGAGTGGCCCGCTCGCTCCACAGACCCCAAAAACCCCGGCTCCAGGCCACATAGTGCATGAGCTGAGGTTTGGGCGTCAGGCTGCTGGCTCTGTGAATGCAGGGAGCCCAGTCTGTCATATTCCCCACCATACAAGTGCGACACACAGAACCGTCCCTCAACACAGGTTGAATATATGATCCTGTGATTATAAAGCTCAGCTCTTCCTACAACTGCTGGGCTGCAGCACAGGAAGGCAGCACAAGTGTCCACTTACATAAATGCTGGAAATGAGAAGTGAGGCTCCACCAGGGAAAGGGGTTTGCGAGAGGCAAGAGAGGGACACGATGCTTGGTATGAAGCAGATGGTAGACGAAACCATCTGGCACATGGAAACGCCCTGTAAGGATAACTTAAGACTCAACAGCTGTAACTAAAAATACGTCAAAGTCTGGGTTTCTGAAATTCTTACCTGAAAGCTCCTAGGCCATGGGAGAAGATGATCAAGGGGTATCCAGAGTCGTTTGTCTTAAAGGGGCCATTCCAGCTAACAGGCAGGCGACAAGATCCTGGCAGAGACACAGACTTTAGAATTTCTGGATGCCCAGAAGTTGGAATCTCAAGGGGAGACCAAGCACAGGCATAGCAGGCATTTGTGTCCCTCCCCTGTGGAGAACCCCAAAGTGTCCCTAAGCACCCCAGGGCAATCATTATCTACTCTTTTTCTCTTTCTTTCTCCTACAAAGAGTGAAAACACACACACACACACACACACACACACACACACACACACACACAAAAAAAAAAAAAAAAAAAACAGGAAGATAAACCAAACAGGTTCATGAAGCAGTGGTAGATCACATGCTCATGTACAAGGCCCTGGATTCCACGTCCAACGAGACCAAAACAAAGAAACCAAGCAAACAAAAAAGGCAACCCTACACAAATCTGGGCAGATCCTTGAGATGCCAAGGCAGTAGGGAGAGTTTTGGATTTGGGCCTTTTGGAGGAAGTAGATGATTCAATGACACCCCACCCAGAAGAGGGGAGGACTAGAGGGAGAGCAGCAGGAGGCTGTCTGCTCCCTGACAGCTAAGGATGGCTAATCTACACAACAGCTGGCAGAGTGGGAACTAACAGCTGCTGCAGAGGGACTCATAGCTGTCACTTATGGGACCCATTCAATGCCCCAGCCACTGCACTAGAGACTTTCTATACATCCCACATAACCCTGCAAAGGCAGGAATTCAGCTCGGGTAACTTGTCGAATCCCACGTACTCTAAAAGGAGACTCTACAAGCTAAAAGGCACTTTAGTTATTCTAGGGACATAATCAGGCAACAAAGAAAACACCTAGGGCCAGGCCAGCCTTACCCACAGCCAAGTTGAACAGCAACCCCACCCAGCGCTTATTAAACTGCAGGAAATCAGCCAGGCCAGTGCAGTACTCATAGCGGGGAATCCACAGGGGTTGCTCCAGGTTCGCCCCTGCCTCTTGGCAGGGGTAGAAGAGTCGAAAGAAGCTTCCCTGTAGGAAAAAAAGAGAGCAGCAGCTCAGAAAAAGAAATCCAAGCACCATTAAGACTTCTCAGCTGACACACGCGGTGGCACTGGCCAGAAGGGCCACCAACACAGGAAAACTTAGGTTTCATTATCGTCCCCAGCCTTTACTTTCAGGAAGTCCAGAAAGAAACAATTTTATTTTCAACACTCATGAAAGCCTTGTGTTATTTCAAATGGCTATTTTGAGTCACACCTTAGATGGAGGGGCACTAAATATCTGAGTGCTTGGGACACTGAAAGATTTAAGTCCGGCTCTGAGCCCAAGTCGGGAAAACCTCTGGGAGCTGGAGATGTGCCTTTCTGCCCCTCCCGGCTGGCTCTCAGGATACAGCCGAGACTGCTGGAAGGAAGGTCCAGAAGAAGCAAGAGAGAAGCAAGATGGCAGGAGAGGACTCAAGGGCAATGACACAGGCGTGGCCACTGCTATTCTTATCCATGTGCATCAGGGTGAGATGAAACAAAACGAACAAAAAAAGACTTTCCATAATTAGAGGTCTGCTCTCAAGACAGGGGAGAGGCGCTGTCTCTGAAGCTAGGGCCCCTTTCCTCCTAGCTGAAGAAAGCACTCGTTGTCTCTGTCAAAAGGTATTTGCAAAGAAGAAGAAAGAAGAAAGAGAAGAAGAAGAAGATAGGCCAGGAAAGACAGACCAGGGCTAATAACCATGTCCAGACAGCTGTAACCCAGCCTCCCCTACCTGGCACTGCACACCGGGCCTGCAAACATGAAGTCACGGTGCATGCAGGGCCACGAGGACACGCAGGGGTGGAGAGGGAGACACCTACCTGGAGACTCTGCCCCTCCATCACATCCCCACAGCCTACAAGGTGGGGTCCGGAGACAGGCGGAAAGCACACAGACTGGCTGGTCCCCATCTTATCACCAGTTGGACCAAATGACTGGGGCGATGCTGGGCTTGACGGCTGGAGGATGAGACACAGAACAGCCCCTTGCTGGTTGCTTCTTAGCTTCTGGTTCCTTACGAGTCACGTGCCACCCTATCTACTTCTTCCTGCCCCTATCACACCTTCCTCTTGCCAGTCACTCACCGTATCACACAGATCATCTATTTTGCTGCAATGACTTTCCAGGGTTTAGGGGATGATTGTTTTTTTCCTGGTAGGGTAAGGAAACAGTGACGAGGAAAAAGAACTTCCATCTTCTTCAAAATCCTCCAAGTGTTTACCTACTATGTGCCCAGCATAATAGCAGTAGAGACAACAGGGACCTTGGCCTCATCAAGCCACTGAGAGTCACTAAATTCAGGCATTTACTTCTTAGTACCACACTAGGTCCATTGTCTCATTTCATTCTCTCTAAAACCCTCTGAAGCTGCTGGCCTTAAGACCTGTTTTATAGAGGCAAAAACTACAGCACAGAGGTTAGGTAACTCCTCAAATTGCCCTGCATTAGTGTGGCAAACCCATGTCAGGCAAATCTAGACACTGAGTTCTTAACTATGATGAGTGCCATTCACAGGGAGACTCAAACAGGCATGTATGGACTCTGACCTAAATTAGTGACTTTCTAAGGTGGCACTTAAGTGGGGCGTTGGAAGATGAGGAGGTTTGGCAAGGCAGACAATGGGAAGAAAACAAGACAATGTAAGAACACAAAAAGGCAGAGGTCAGGAGGATGACACCGGCAGATCACACGGGAGGCTTCCTGGTGACAAATATGTCTGCGTCTCACTACGCTCCATTCCTGGCCTTTGCTGGTCCCTAACCTGCAGCTAATGGCACTGTTCCCCAACCTTCAGTTTCTCAAGACCATCATCATCGTCTCACTCTGCCAGGAACTATGCCAAGTGCTTTACATCTAGGGTTAAATTAATTTAACGCTTAAAACAGCCCTCAGATATATGTATTACTAACTCATTTTACAGACAAGAAACTGATGCTTCGTAAATCACATAACTTACCCAGCAAACACACAGCTAGCAGAGCCAGAATCAGGTCACAGACAATGTGGCTGTGACCCAGTAATGTGCTCGAACTTCCCAGGATCCTCGACCTGTGGCTTAGGTGGGGCTGATCCCCCCTAACCTCAAGAGCCAGCCCCAGGGTGACCTGAGCCAATCGGTCATCTCTAGGCCCTGGGAAGTAATTGGACAAAGAGTGGACATAGCAATGTGAAGTTGGTCCAATCAGGTCATGGTATCTTCCCTGCCAGGTAAGTATAGTTGGTCCAATCAGATAAAGCACAAGACTTTGGTTTGATGGTTGAGGTGCAAAACGCTCTTGTTTTTTCTTCTTTTCTTCCTCTGTTGTTTTGACTAGCCTGATATTACAGACGTTACCTCTCAAGTGGCTTTGAACCACTGTATCCACTTTGCTACCTCTGAGGATGAGGCTGCCCACAGTGGACAGCAGAGCTGGGAAAACCTCAGAGAAATAAGGTGCGTTCATGAAAATATAAGAATGCCTGGATTGAGGCTGGGGATTTAGCTCAGTGGCATAAGCACCTGCCTTGCAAGTAGGCGGTCATGAGATCGATCCCTGGTACCGGAAAAAAAGACAAAAAAAAAGAATGTCTGGATTAAACCCACTCCTAGATTTTCTAGTTACTTAGATTTATAAATTCTCTTTCCTGTTTAAGTCAACAGAATTAACAAAGGCTGGGGTACAGCATAAGCTTAGCACACATGAGGCCCTGGGCTCAATATGCAGCAGCACAAAACAACTAAAAATACAAACCAACAGAATTAGACTCCGATTGTTTGCAACCAATAAAAGCATCCCATATTGTTACTCTGCTTACTCACATTACTCTGCTCCCTTTAATATGCTCTAGAAGAGTTCAAAACAAGCCTGGGCAAGAAGAGACCTAGAGCTCATTTCTGTCAGTTCTCACAATCGTCTCCCTCTTCCCACCCAGTACCTCTACACGCTTTACTGATGAAGAAACTAAGGTCCTGAGAGTAGGTGAGCTGTTCAAGGTCAGGAGCAGACCCATAATCATACCCTGATTATCTGACTCTCAACTACCAAGTCTCCTGTCCACTGGAAACCACTTCACAAAATGGAAAGCCCCAAATAATCCTAATGTCGTTCTGTTTAACTTCAGAGAATAGATGATTTCATGAGTCCATGAGTTCAAGACTCAAGTGTGGGGAACATAGCAAGACACTGTCTCAAAAATAAAAATAAACTCAATTGTCATAGAACAGAGGCTAAGCTCCTGATGCAGCCCGAGCAAAGGAGGATCCAAGCTGCTCAGTCATAGTGCCAGACGCTTCCTCCCCTCTTGTTGCTGAGGACACAAACCACATGACCTACAACTGGGGCCACAAGACACATGTCACCCACATGACCCTGAAGCAGCTGCAAATTCCAACTGTCATGAAAGAGAGTCAAAGAGCTCCGAGGGAGAGCTCCTTAAGCTTAGCAGTAAGGCGGAGGAAGATGCTATAATGGTTGATGCCTTGTGTCAACTTGAGAACTGAGAAGTATAGAAGCTTAACTAGGGGCTGGGGATTTAGCTCAGTGGCATAAGCGCTGCAAGTGTGCGGTTGTGAGTTCGATCCCTGGTACCGATAAAAATGAAAAAAAAAAAAAAAAAAAAAAAAAGAAGAAGCTTAACTAAATTAATTCAGCAGGAGGCCCCATTCCTCACCTTGTAAACATCCTGGGCTTGCACAAGAGGCACCTAGTCAGTGGGGGCAGATCAGTCTACATACACAATAAGGGAAAAAAAAGAGGCTCGCTCTACCCCATTTTGGCTTCTGTTGCTGTGAGCTAAATATACCTTTTCTTCCTTAATTTTGGGCAACTGGTATTTTGGTTCAGCAACCAGAGAAATGTAAACAAGAGAGATGAGGAGAGCTAACTTCAAGTAGAAGAAAGAGTGGGCAAAGGCAGCATGTTAAAAAAGCATTCAAAGGCCGGGGTGTGGTGGCACATGCCTGAGATCCCAGCACTTGGGAGGATGAGGCAGGAGGATCACCATGAGTTGGAGGCCAGCCTGGGCTATGCAGTGAGTTCAGGGCCAATCTGAACTACAAAGTAGGATCTTGTCTCAAAAAACAAAACAAAACAAAACCAACAACAACAAAAAAGTATTCAAAAAACAGTAGCAGGGCTGGGGATGTAGTGCAGCAGCACAAGTGCCTGCTGGCAGGCACACGGTCCTGAGTTCAAGTCCTGATACAAAAAAAAAAAATGATGGGTGGAAGGGGAGAAAGGAAAGTTGTGACAAGACCTAGAACACAGCAGTGCCTCAAGTGCTAGGCTAACGAAGTGGAACCTGCTCTGGGAGTGAAGTGCTGGGTGTGAGAGAAATTACACTTAAAAGACCCATACCCGAAGCCTGACTCCTCTGCTGCTTAGTTTGCTTCCTTGGGCAAGTTATCTGACCTCTCTAAGCCTGATTTTCCATTGGCACTATGAGAATTCTTTCATTCTCATGGGGTTGCTATGGAAATAAAGCGAAATAAAGTACTTAAAGCACCTAGCTGAGTACCTGGCTCTTAGCAAGTACCCAGTAAATATCTGTTGACTGAGTGAAAAGCAGAAACAATAAGATTTGGCAACTGAGTGGATGTGCAAAGTCAATGGGGAGAGAAGAGCCAAACATAATCAGGTTTCAGGATCCTGTGACCAGGAGGATAGTAGTTTCTTATGGGAAGAGGGAAGAGACTTGTCTCATCCAGCATTGAAAATAGTCCTTGGACCAGGAATCAGAGTAAGTGGACTTAGACAGACAGACAGACAGACAGACAGACACACACACACACACACACACACACACACACACACACACAGGGAAGGGCAGCAGATCTCTCACAAATTTCTGAGAGGGCCATCAATTAAGTTCTACTTGGAAATAAAAATAGTTGGCCAGGGACTGGGGATATAGCTCAGTGGCACAGTTCAATTCCTGTGCCACAAAACAAAACAAAACAAACGAACAAAAAAGACCAGTGAGGTTGACATTAAAATGAATGTGTTCCTTCCTTAGACTCATGGATTGATGGTCAAGTATGGTAAGATGGGGAAACCTAATCTGATTTAAAATTTTTTTCATCATAGTCCAGTGAAATCTCCAAGTCCTCTTGGGGGAGCTTTCCCAAGTCTTTCCCACTTCTCCTCTCGACTCTAAGTCTGGTCCCCATCACCTGGAAACCAATCACAGACTGCCTTATGGCCATTGTTGGATTAGTAGCTAGCCTAGTGGTTTTCAATCAGTGATATGCCTGTCACAGTGTGAAACCTAGATCAGAGCTTACTGAATTTTTTTACTTTCCCCTCAGCACTAGAGACTGAACCCAGAGGTGCTTTACCACTGAGCTACCTTTCCTAGCCCTTTTTGAGACACAGTCTTGCTAAAATGGCCAATGCTCAAACTTGTGATCATCCTGCTTCAGCCTCCTTTAATGCTGGGATTATAGGTATGCACTACCATGCCTGGCTTCTCCTGGGAAACTTTTTTAAAAATGTGTGTTCTAGGGCTGCATTCCGAGATTTCTGGAGATGGGATCCATAATCTTGCACTTGCCAGCCAAACACTCTCCCACTGAGCTATATCCCCAGCCTGCAATCAGTTCTTTAAAAAGCTTCCTGAGTGTTTCTGCTGAGGAAGGCTTAAAAACCTCCGGTCCATACAGTTTTTTCAGACAGGTGTGCACACAACCAACAAATAGTGTTCGCTACATTCTGGTCCCAATTTTATGACAATGACTGAGACACTCAGATGACTGAGTGTCATCTCCATGACTACCTAAAAGTACCTGTTACTTGACTTAATGTAGTGCTCTGCATATAGCTGATCTCAATAATTAATTTATCCAATGAATGCTATTCAGTTCAATAAAGATTTACGCCTTTTCTCTTCAGATATAACTCAGGGTAAAGACTACGCTCTTCGTAGGTCAAACCATCTATCCACAAGCTTTCTAAATAGTAGGGACCCGATAAATGTACCTTTGTTTGATTTTGATTTAAACCCTCTCCATTTTTGAAGAATAGAATCTGTCTTTCTGACCTAAAAATAAGGTTAGAGTAGAAAAAGAAAGCTTGGATGATCTGAAAGTCACCTCTGCTAATTATTAGCTCTGAGATCTTGAGCAAAGTTCCTTAAACTCTAAAACTCTGATAATGATCCACTTGACAGAAAAACAACTACTCATAACGTCAAAAAGATTAAACAATGTATGTCAAGCACTTGCTGTATGAAAGGCACTATAGCCACGGAAGGTAGGTACAACTTTAAATACATGACTTCTTTGAACCTCAGCTTTCTATATGTAAAATGGGAACACTTCATAAGTGAAATTTAAAAATGGAGACTGACACTGTCTAGGGCGTGGTACATTTTAAGTGTTCAGAAAATGTCAAGAACTAATAATGTTATGTCTCTCTTTCAACCTACCCAGGCAAAATCTCTTTCATTTTTCCTGGATTAAAAACCCTGCAGCGCCAGGCATGGTGGCTCATGCCTGTAATCCCAACACTCGGGAGGCTGAGGCAGGAGGATTGTTCCGAGTTCGAGACCAGCCTGGGCTACAAAGTGAGCTCAAGGCCAGCCTGAAGTGCATAGCGAGACCCTGTCTCAAAAAGGAAAAAAAAAAAAAAAAAAAAAAAACCTGCAGCAAGGGGCTGAGGGTTTTAGCTCAGCGGTGTAAGCACCTAGCAAGCACTAGGTCATGAGTTCAACTCCTGGCTCCAACAAACAATCAAACAAACAAAAACAAACCCTGTAGCAAAATAGGACTCTTTCTACTCAGTCTTTCCAGGCCTGAGCCACCCCTGCCAAAGCCAGAGTGTACCAAACAGACAAAACAGGACAAGAAGAACTACAAGGGAATGGACAGGGCTTAACACTGTAGCTGTCTTCCTGCTGCCCCCTGCCAGCCGTGTGGACCTTTCTTCACTGGCTCTTTCAGGACAGGGTTCAAGATAAGCACCTCACTAGTGCTTCCTTTCAAAGATCCCTGGAGACTAAAAAGCTCATTGGTTTGTCTGATCGTTAATCTCTGGAGGAAGTGAGGAAACACCATCCTGCTCTTAGATGGAGACATCAAAACTCAACGAACAGGCTTAAGTAACAAGGTGACATAACTCAGCCCTGAACAAGGCCCTCCAAGCTATAATAAACGTAATAACTTCTGTCACCTGCAGAGACCTTACAGTTTAAAAGCACTTTCACAGCTACTAGTTTACTGGCTCCAAACCGCAGCTTCTCCCTATGACATCTTCATTTTGTAGATGAAGTAACTGAGTCTCAAAGAAATTGTATGACTTGCCCAGAGTCACAAACAGCGGGACGCTGAGCTGGACTAGAACCCCCGTGGGCTGACTTCCAAGTTCCCAGGATCGTTAAGAAGAAATGGGGGCTCAGCGGCACAGCGCCTGCCTGGCAAGCACGAGGTCGTGAGTTTGATTCCCGTACCAAAAAAGAAAGAAACAAATGGAACCTTTCTTTCACCAGCATGAAAAACAGGACAGTACATGTATGAGCGAAGCATACAAGGTACGGCGAACACAGAAAGCAGCCTTGGTTTGGGGTAGGTGAGGCTTTGGGGTCAGGCTGAGGCTGAGGCTAGTGGGATTCCAGGACTGGCAGAGTGAACCGAGAGGTGACGGAGGGGAATTTAGGGTGTGAGTGGATACTGCAGGTGTCTGAACGGGACACAGAAAGAACGAAGATTAAAGGTTAATGTACAGTTTCTGCGACTGAAAGACGAGGAGGCCATAAATCAGACTGGAATATGAAAGTCTGCGGACACCTCAGTCAGGAGAGCTTTCTCCCACCAAACTTACCCAGTCGAGGTGATCCCTTAGACTCAAACACAGACGTTTCACTCCAAGGAAATGAGAAACCACCCAGGAGCCCGTGAGCCTTTGGTAGTTGTAGTTTTTAAGAACTCAACACGGACGCTTAAAATCATGTTCCAATTCTCTGCCTGGAACTACAACTCCCGAGGTGCACCACGAGAGACCGCTCCTTGTAGACCCAGGACTACAATACCTAGAGTTCTCCGCATTGCGAAACGCCCTGGGATGCGGTGCGATTCCTCCCCCTGGTGGTAGCCTGAGGAGCAGCCGCCACGAGGCTAGATTTCGAGCGGAGGATTATAGCTTGAAGTCCCGGTGAGTAACCCTCCGCTTAACCGAGCCTCAAATAGCTCCTGGGCGTGCCCGGAAATAATGTTGACTTGTCTTTATTTTTCAGGAAAAAGAAGGGGAGGTCGTGCATTGTTTGTGTTCCCCCTTGCTTCCTATGAGAATAAGACTGACCATGTCAAGGGTATATTCTTTACCAACCTGCAACTGTTGACAACGGTGATTTTCCATTGTCCTCCACAGTCTTACTCATTTTGATTAGGGAGGAACCTGAAATACCAGCAGGTCCACATAAGTCTCTTCATTCATTCTCTACTGCCTTATGCTGGTTATTAGGGGAAAGTTGGATGGAAAAGATACTGTCTCTAGCCTCAACAGAGTTCCCAGACTCGCTGAGAATTCACACAAAGGAATAATTACAACACAGTGATGTGTGCTGCAGGGGGACAGTGAGTGTGGGAGTCTTGAAAAGGAACACCTGTCCGACATTGGGGGCTAGGAGGCTATGTCCTCACGCTTCCTAGAGAAAGTGATGTCAAAATCGAGCCCTGAAGGAAAGGACTTAGCCATGACTACAGGACGGGTGAAGAATGGTAAATGCAGGGTTTGCGGACCACAGAGTGTGCTTGGTAAGAATGGGGAGAGAATTACCTTGGATCCCATCCTCCAAAATCCTTACGCTTCCTTAAGAAATTTGCATCATTACTGAGCTCAAAAACTTTCAACCGCTTTCTAGGACCTACTCATGAGGTCCCAGTTTAGCCTGGAATTCAAAGTCTTCCCCTACCACTCTGCCAGTGTGCTCATGCCCCTGCCTGTGCCCCAGCCGCAGTGCTGCTCACCATTCTCAGGATGAAGCAGGTTCTCACTGTTCTCTCTGTTACCAGAATTTTAAGGGGAATAAAGTCCTGGCTTCCTGGGTCGCAACAGATTAGGGTCAGCCACTCTTCCCAAACTGCCAATCAAGGAGACTAGCAGTAGTGAAGGTAAGGAAGGGGGCTGTAGTCCGGATGGCCATGCCAGGACGAAAAGGAGGTTCGAGACCTGTCCTCAGGGAGCTGACCCAAACTTTGGCATTTTATAGAAAAAAGGGAGCAAAGGCAAGGGTTGGGTTGCACAGCAGCAAGATGATTAATCCTGGTCAAGTTTCCATCTCAAGGATAGTGTGATTTGGTTGATTCGTATCTCGAGCAAGGCTCTGGGAGTGCCGTACTGCTGGAGCGACAGTTTGATCCCCATCATGCCACGATGGATTCTGCTGGGAGTGATGTAGGACCACCAAATGATATAGGGAAGTAATATAATTCTCAACCTGCTAGGTGTCCAACATGCCGACTTCATGTTCCTCAAATTGAAGAATAAATTCTAAGGAACAACAGAGTTGAACAGAAGGAAATTTATTCCTGAGAGTTAGGAGGGGCCCCAGAAAGTGGGTTGCCAATGAGCTTTCTTCTCAAAGGAAGTTTTATAGAGCAAAATCTCAAGCTGGGTATAATATGGGACAAAAACTATGATCAACCAATAAGATTAAAAGCATAAGTAGCCATGAATATAGCTCAATGGCATAGTGCCTGCCTGGCAAGCATGAGATCCCGAGTTCGATTCCCAGTGCAAAAAAAAAAAAAAAAGTGTATTCAGTTAGATAATATCGATCCAGTAGAGAAGTAAATCATGTAGTAAGTGAACATGAAAAGAAAAAGAACTTTTTAGGGTTGGGGATTTAGCTCAGCGGCATATGCACCTGCCTTGCAAGCAGGCAGTCGTAAGTTCAATCCCTGGTACCGATAAAAAGGAAAAAGACAAAAAAAAAAAAAAAAGAAAGAAAAAGGACTTTTTTGGAAGAGATGAGTCATGAGGTCTTGATTACCCACCTGGGTGACTGATGTCTGTTAGACTTTATTGGCCCAGGTGGTACCAATTATAGTATATTGCTTATCCCGTGGGGAGGATGTATGCCAGGTCATTCTATCTTTATCTTGAGGTTTGGCCCTCAACAGATGTCCCTCTAGCCACAGTTGTAATATACTTTCATCCTCTGCACTGACTCCCACGATGGCCTAGCTCTGTCTGACTGCCTGTGATATTTCTACCTAACTTAGCTGTCTGCAGCCTTCGTTCCTATCATGGGGTAATTGCTTTTGCTTGGAGGGGGTGGTGTCAACTTGAGATGGTATGCGAGGCTTTAATTTTCCTGGAATCAAGGTGACTATGACTGGAAATTTCTGGGCATCCCTCCAAGGAGCGTAGAACCGGAAGCTGTAAAAGCTTGCAGTGGGATGTCACTGCAGATCCTGAAAACTACCTTAGGGACTCTGATCTTGGTGTCCTCAGTCACGGAGGCAGAATAATGTAGGCTAAATTTAGAGATAATATATCTTGTCCTACTAGTTTTTCAGACAGATGAGTATTAGGTAATCATGCCTATGTGTAGAACTGAGCTGATCTGAGCCAAAATGTTAAGGTAATAAAAGAGAGTTAGAAAACAAAGAGATGCTAAGCTCCTTCCTGCCTACTGGGCTTCACTGGGCATCTGCAGGCCCAGCCTCTAAATCTCTGTTACATCCCTACACTTGAACTCATGCTGTCTGCTCCACTGGGGACTCTGCTGCCATGAAATGTGCTGTCCTGCCTGGTGATCTGTCCTGCTTTGCCTTTAAAATTCCTTTTAAGTCCTTTTCCACAAAGCTTCCCTAATCCCCTCAGCCCAAAGAACCACTGCCTTCCCTGTGCCATTTACCAGGATGGAATGCTTATGTCTCCCACACATTGTGAGCTCTTTTAGGAAAGGAGTCCCACATATGATCTCTGCATGTTCCCCCAGGTCCTCAGAATCTAGATTCCCTGCTACGGGTTTTTCAGGCTCATCTGTCTCCATGAAACCGTTTCCACCACCATCCTACTTGGAAGACAAGCTATCAGGAGGCTGATGACAGCACTGCCCTGTGGGAATTAATCCTTGGATTTAATTAAAGCTGAGGTTGGTGGCAGTGGCCAGAGAACATAAAAAGCTTAGTGTGGATAGAGAGGGCTCCCTTTGAGTAATTAGGTAAGGCTATGCCGCTGACCCAGAACACTCATGACAAAGCAGAGGCCCTGGTCATGAGAGGGACAGCTGGAGGTCAGAGGTCATTTATGCCAGTCTCCTACTCACAGCCCAGGGCATGTTGGGGCCTTTGCTGGTCAGATGAGTTCAAATTTCCCAGGAACCAGGTTGTCACGGGCTGCTGCACCTCATTTGTCACTGTTAGGAGATGTCTGTGGGCCCACCCAGACTCTTTTCTGTTGCAAAATAAACTGAGTTCATGTAGTCTTTTCTGGGATGAACAACCAAATGCTTTTAAATCATCCACAAGTTGATTTCCCAGTCTTTTTTTTTTTTCTTTTTTATCAGTACCAGGGATCAAACTCACGACTGCCTGCTTACAAGGCAGATGCTTATGCCACTGAGCTAAATGCCCAGCCCCAATTTCCCAGTCTTTTTAATCATAGATCTTGACTTCTAGTAACCAAAGTTTTCCTTCAAATCAGCTACCATCCCAACCCTGGGGTTACCTTGTGGTTAATCTATTTTAAGTTGGTATTTGGCTGACCAGCTTTGCAGTTCCTGTTTTTCCTTCTGCTGTCACCAACTAGTAAGCCTTTAGCCACGTGTACTATGGGAAGCAGAGATGAGCTAGTTCTTCAACTTCTTCATTGCTGACGACTATCATGTTGTCCACCTCCTTCTTTAGAGCCCTCTGAAGGGGAGGATGCCGCGTGGACCACCAGTAAGTCACCAGTTGGATGAAGGTTCTTTTGCTCAATTTGTATTGAGGTTATGAGTTGGCAAAGTGTAGCTCTTGTAAGGTCAGTGGTCCTGAACTTTGAATGTCAGCAGCTATCAGCTCTTAGTGTTAGGGGCTCTTCCTAGTAGTACACAGAGGCAGCAGCCACCAGCAGGGCTTGTGATCTCTTTCAGCCCCCGGAGGTGGCAGTTGGTCACGTTCAGTGATCACAGCTCTTACTGTACTAGTTCAGTATGTTCTGCTCAAGATAGAAATCATGAATAGGCACAACTATGCTAGCCAAAAGAGGTTTTATTAGAACCTATGCTGCAGCATAATGTGGGAACAGTACACAGACTGAGCCACCAAAAAGTAAAGGGAGGTTGCTTAGATAGGGAAAAGAAGGGTTTGCATGTAGTGTCAGACCTTCTGTTTGATGGTGATGGGGAAGGGGCTTCTGAGGGGTGTGTTATCCATAGGGCCTGCAGGGTAGGATCATCCGAGATTCGTTGGAGAAGGAAGCTTGCTGCAGCCAAAGTAAACGTCTGCCTGACTGGTTGTGGGTACCAGATGTAGCCAGATGGTCCAGAAGGCATTTGGGGCAGCCTCAACAGCAAAAATAAAAAGTACCTCTTGGGAAGTGTCAGACCCTGGCCTCCTGCCTCAGTACCTGTCCAAGTTAGTGGATAACACTTTTAAAATCAGATATAATAGGTTTCAAATAAAATTCAAAAGCACACTCACCTTAAGAGTATAGCTCAACAATTTTTTTAAAATGTTTGTCATAACTACCACCTAGTTCAAAATGTAGACCATGCTGAGCCTGCTGGTATACACCCATAATCTCAGCACTCAAGAGACTGTGGCAGGAGGCTCTCCATGAGTTCAAGGCCAGCCTGGGCTACATACCAAGACCATGTCTCAAAAAGAAAAAAAAGTAAACCAATTCCAATGCCTTAAAAAGTTGCCTTCTCTGTTTAAAACCAATCATCCACACCCAGGCTTGTGGCACATGCCTCTAATCACAGCACTCGGGAAGCTGACGCAGGAGAATCACTGGGAATTGGAGACCAGCCTGGCCTACAAAATGAGCTCAAGTCCAGCCTGAACTGCATACTGAGACGAAATGGCAAAAAAATTAAATAAAAATAAAAATAGGGCCTGGGGATTTAGCTTAGCGGCATAAGTGCTTGTCTTGCAAGTGCATGAGTTTGATCCCTGGTACTGATTTAAAAAAAAAAAAAAAGTAAATTAAAATAAAAATAAAAAATAAATAAAATTTTAAAAATAAAATAATAAATAAATAAAATAAATCACTCCCAACTAGTAAAGGAAACTGTCGTTTTTCTTTTTCATCATCAGCTAGTTTTGGCGGAAGCAACACTGTGTGACTTCTGACAGCAATATTTTGTGCTCAGTGATGCACCAGTGGATGATCTCATGTCAGTGCCTTTCTAGTCAAAGATGGCCAGGAACACACCTGTCACTGCTCAAGCTGCACTTAGGCTCCAAGCAGTGGGAGGAGGGTGCTGTTCTCGGAAAACAGACAGGAAGAGGGTATTGTAAAGGACTTTTAGCATCTGGGCTTTTGTTATGTAAGTTTGGGGAGAGTTTAAAGAAGTGGGGCTTTCCCTTGGGTTGGATGCTGTCAAGAGGCAAGTGCAGTTTGAGGACTGGGTTTCATTATAAAGTTTATCTAGAGGGAGGGAGGGTGGGCGAGGTGGAGGCTAAAGGTGTCATAGGTAAGAAGCAACAGTTTCCTATTAGCAAGGATGGGCTATGGTTGGTTCTTTTCTGTAGTTTGGACAATGTTCCTGTTTTGTCCGTGGCTGGACAAGATAACAGAGTGGCCCTGTGTGTGCCATTTCTCTGTGAGCATGGTCTGCTGTTGTTCTTCTGTGAAGTTTATGTTCAGCAGGAGAGCACCAAAGCCAGCTGAGTGCCGGGCAGGCCCCTGGAGCTCAGGGCTGCTTTTCTCTTTCTCTTTCTCTTTCTTACCTTACTGACATGTGTTGGTGTCTTCTCGGCGCTGAAACTCAAGTACGTAGAAGTGACTTTCTTCGCTGGGTGTGGTAATGCCTGCCTATTATACCACACAGCTGAGGCAAGAGGATGGCCGGTTCAGGGCCAGCCTGGACAGCTCAGTGAGGCCATGTCTCAAGATAAAAAAATAAAGGACTGAGGATATAGTCCAGTGCTCTGTGGGTTTAATCTGCAGTACCTCAAAAGAAGAGGAAGGCGAGAAGGATGAGCAGGAGAGGAAGAAGGAGGAGGAAAAAGATGAGGATGAGGAGAAGGAAAGGAAAAGGGAGAAAGAAAAGGAAAAAAATTGATTTAGATGATCAAGTGTAATGGTTCCAGAACCAAGAGACTGAAGGGTTTTTTTATTTTATTTTATTTTATTTTTGGTACTGAGGATCGAGCACACAACCAACCTCACACTTGCTAGGCAGGTGCTGTGCCGCTGAGCTACATCCCTGCCCCTGAAGAGTTTTTGATAGTGCTGGGATTGGAACCCAGAGCCTTGCACATGACTGAGCTACACCCCCAGGGGTGCAAACTGAGCTTAAATCCCAGCTGTTCCACTTTCTGTGAGACCTGGGACAGTGACCGTTCTCAAAGCCTCCACTTCTTTGAACGCCAAGTAACAGTGATATTCACTTATGCTGTTATTGTAAGTACAGCTTTAAAGTGACAACAGTTTGTCATAGCTGCTTAATTTAGAGGTTTGGATTTACAAACGAAAGCCCCTGACAACCAGGTAAAAGCAATGAAACAAATTTAATAAACTGTTAACACACATACACACACACACACACACACACACACACACACATACACAGAGGCAGACAGAGAGAGAGAGAGAGAGAGAG